GTTCCATTTTCAAGATCAGTGTCATAAAAAGTTGCTTTTTGTTACCTGAAAACATTTTGGAACCTTAATTTGCGTTATATTTGTAGGTCGATAACATGTGTGAGAATCCATTAATCTAACAGTTAATTTACTTTCTTCGGACTTGGAAACCTAGTTATAAGTCAGATGATGGGTGCTTAAATTGCAGTATGGATGATTTAATCTGAGTGTTGGTTAAACTCTTTCTATTAAATGAGGAATTCTCCTAGTGCTGAAAGTTAAGTAATTGGAATTACTTGAATGTTAGCACTAGCATGAATTCTGGAAAACTTTGATTCTGCTGCTTTCTAAATCAATTGACATTTGAAAGGAAGACGGATGAGAGAAGATTTTGGGCAAATTAGGCCCGCACATACACACTAGGCAGACATAATTCAATTCTATAAATCGCTCTATCCCTAATTATTAATCAAAACTTGTCTGATTGCTAATGAAACAGAGGCCCAGTCTTGCAGTACTCTATCTGTTCTTCTCATGTCGTCGATAATCTCTGAATTTCAGCATTTTGTAGCCAGTCTCTCATCAGAAGTTGTCATCTTTCTCGAAAATTTTGTGAAAATTCAAATGAGAACCCAAAATCGTGTTCAAATGTGTGCATGCCTATGTCTCATTAGCGTCCCATTTTATTCCCTTCTCACTTCAGTTCCTGCATCCCATTACTTCCTAACATGTTGGAAGAAAGGAAGGGAATTTTAGAAGTTGTTAAATCATACGTTCTACTACTAAAACCTTCATTTTAAAGTTAATTTAATATAAATATTTCCACCACATTCAATTCACTGAATGCCACCATAAAATTTGTCCTGTAAATGCAATCACAATGCTAGAAGCAATTGGACGGCATCGTAAGATATACATATACTTGGAAGCTTCGAATAAGCCAGGAATACTTTCTTAATTGGCCAAATGGTTTTGGAAGACTGACAAATGAACTAACGGGATTTGAGCTTCTTTCTGGTAGTCCATGTGAATGAAATATAATTAAAAGACTGAAATTTATGGGTTAAATAAACCAAAAAAGCGATAGTAGAGAAGGTAGACAGGTAAGATAAAGTAAGGTTGTGATAGAGCAAGATATACTGGGAAAGATCTCGTGAGACTAAAAGGATTCCATTTGGAGGACATTATGACAGAAAATATCATTGACTTTTACATCAAATGGCAGATCTTTCAAGATTATGAAACTTTTTGTTAAGAAAACTAAGCGCATTTGTTCTGAATTTATCTGACGCACAACAAATTTCGAATTCGCGCCCATATTTGTGGAGTGAATTCGCACAAAGGAATAACATGCAATAAGCTGGTGCCGTAAAGTTATCATTGTTTGCGCTTTGTGGATGAACGGGGAAGGCTGGGAAAAGCGGGTGAGGGAGGGGGGGGTTTATGGTGGTTTTCAATTTATTTATCTTTTTAGTTCAACTCAATTGCCTTGTGGCTTTGGAGAGGAGAAAAGGAGGTTTGTGGAGGGGGGGGAAGGAGGCGGAAAAAGGGTTGGACAGAACGAATTAATCAGCCTTTTAGTAGTTATTTAAGCTGTCGGTGCTTTCGCTTTCATCATCTTTCCAAGGCTTATATCAAGACCTATCACTCCATGGATCTGTCCATCCATTCTCAGACTTCTCCTTTCTGCAAAGTAAATGAGAAGAATCAAATGATTTTAAGATTTCATGTACAAACAGCAGGAGGAGTGATGGGTAAAGACTTCGAGTGGATTAAGCTTGATTTGATTATTTATTTAATCAGTGTGGGAAGGGGACCTCGAGGTCCCTCATTTCACATGAAGCGAAAACCCTGTCCCAGTAAGTCATTTCCATTTTGATTACAAGGAAATCAAGGCTCTATCGCTTCAAGGCCTTTAGAATTAATTTTTACGTTTTCAGGCCCAGATAGTCACTATTATGGCCCGTGCCACTCAGTAATCCATTCTAGCTGTTTTGTCATATTGTTGACATGACTTGAATAATATGCGTTGTTGAACAGTAACCTGGTAATTATCATTAAATCCCTATTCCAGCATCTTACAACAACTTGGAGGATCTTGGTGTGGCTTCGGTCTTGTTATCACATTAGACATTAGAAGTGATCTTCAGTAGCCTTTTTTAATTGTAGAAACTGTCGTTTTAAATCGCGATCAGCGATTTCCGAACATTTTGAGGATATCATTGAGATTTCAAGCTTCTTTCAAGAGGTTATCAGTGAAAACTACAATCTGCTCAGATTAAAATTATCTTATCCATTGGAATAAGTCATGTCGCACATTCCTATATTTAAAGTATCCAGTGTTTTCACATTATCGGCTTATAATACTTAAATGTCATTGCTTCAAACAGATGAGCTGTTCAGTTGTTCTTGAAATGTCTGAGATATTTTGCGATTGGTTTCGGTAAATTTTGCTTACCCTATCTTTAGTTAACTCAAACTTTTCAGAATTACTGGTTATAACTTTTGTTACACCAAAGCTGCTATAGTACGGAGAGAGTGTTGAGGAGCCATTTCACAGGCATCATCAAATTTTAGCATATCGCAAATTACATCGAGCGGAAGTATAAAAGAATTCAAATGCGCTCTCATTCTCCATTCTTCTAAAGCAATCTCTTTTTTAACATATATAATTTGCTTATAAAATTTTGAGTCCGCTAGTCCATTTATCCGTCAGTCCCAACATATATAATATATACATATATATATATATATATATGTGCGTGTTTGTCTGTCTGTTCAGTGTATACGTCTGTCTGTCCAGGTTAAAAAAAATTCACTTTGATATGACCGCCATCTTTGCCAAGCTATGGTTTGTGGCCTTCCCTCACATTTCTTCGCCTCAACATCAAGTCGGGTTTCCTCCATCCAGCTCCTTTCAAACCATTCGCGAAAGAATAACAATAAAAAACCTAACCTGAACCGAAATAATTTTTGAATAATGAAGAATGTACTATTTGAAAGCTAAAAATTTTTTTTAAAAACATTTTCAGTTATTGATTTTTTTCGGGACTGGAATTTTTTGATTAAATCACTGAAGTTTTTAAGTAATTCGACTTACAAAAGGAATGAGAAAAAAATTATAAGCACTAAACTTCTTGATCGATACCCTTCTTTCAAATCCTTTTGAATTAAAGAAAAAAAACCTGCCAGTTTTGGAAAAGCTATGCAAGAGGGGAAATTTAAGCGTCTGCATGCACTAATGAAATCATCGAATAATGTTTGAGATAAATTATTAAGGAAGTTTCACAATGAAGTATATATCAATACCAAATTAATAAATGAATTTGTTTATTTAGATTGCACTTACATATATATATGTATTCCTATTTGCAAGCCATTTTGTTTCACTCTTTCATTCTGCCGTAGAAAATGATGCTAAAAAATGAGTTAAAAATATAATTTGTACTGCAAAATCCGTCCAACTTTTGATTTTATCAAAGTTTAATGATCATAGTGTTTATCAGTGATTTGCACCAAACTGTTTAAACCAGTTAATGAGATAAATTGTTAAGAAATTATTTTAGGTTGCCCTCAGCATCAAATATTGTTTGGTAGAGGATGGTATGATTGGAATAATAACCCTTATTTCATATTTAAATAGTTTGTGACTCACCTCCCGAAGTGGTAGAAAGTTTTTTGTTTTTTTTTTCAATCTTCTCCACGACGTATATTATACTTACTGAAATAGCCAGCATGAGAAAAATGGCACACGAACTTATATTAACTAGGTATTCTAGACAAAGTTTGCCAAAGTCACTTTGTCCGCTTAGGATAGATGTCTTCACGGTACTTGGGCACTAACAGTTTAGCAATACTTTTATGAAATTCGCATTTTCACGTAAGATTTTAACATACGTCTGTACAAACAAATATTTTATTTGAATAAAAGGTTGTTCTCACTACCTGGTAGTTTTGGTTTTATAAGCAAAAATTTCAGTTTCCTGGAAACCAACCAAGCAACCATTCGGAACGATTAAATTCGATCTTTCGGTTGTTCTTCATAAAGCAATTTTTCATTTGGATTCTAATTTTTTTTGAAAATGCTTGATAAAATATGACTATATCGTGTATACTTTAGTGCTCAGTTTAGCATTTTATTAGATCTAATTTGGATATATAAAACATTGTCTTAAAAGATATTTTGGGACCTTTCTTTTAAGCCTCTTGAAGCATTAACTCGTGTAAAAAAAAGAATTTTCATCCTCGACGCCATGTGATTTGAATTCTATTCCAAGTAATTTGAAGTTAAATACTAAATAAAAATTGTCAAACAAGTCTAAAGTTCTTAGAGTTAGAATGCAGTAAAACGGACGGATGTCATCTCGGTTTAAAAGATTGATGTCGCACATGTCCAAAGTTTCTAACAAATTTTTCACTCGAAACCTTGTATTCTTTATTCAAATTTTAATTTTAATTTGTAATATGGAACAAACTGTTTAAAGTTGTTTAGACATATTCAGGAATAGATCTTTGCCGAGAGAAATGCTAAAGTAAAGCCTATAAAACTCCAACTCAAAGATGTATACACTTTAGACCTCTAACCCACAAAAGTAGTGCAAGCAGTTAATTTCATTGAATACATATACATTTCAATCCTCTTCACTATCTCATTCCCTTCCATATAACTTCATCATTTTGTTCAAGCTTTCCCTTCCTTACTTCCTTTCTTTTTCTTCCATACAATGAAGAATTTCTTCCCTCTGTAATATTTCACCCAAAAATTTCTTATTTTGTTAGTGATTTCAATTATCGAAGGCTAATATGTAAGTAATCGACTTCTGACCTTTGCAATCGTTTGTTTGTAAGTGATAATCATCAACATTCTTCAGTCATTTAGTGCGACATGTGCAACAAGTTCAATCCATTTGTTAGTTAGGTTGTTAATCTGGTCATGCTTTTATTAGTTAGCTCAAGATCAAATGTTTTCTTAGCTTTATGCTTTGTCTTAGATATACTGTCTTCGGCTCAACTTACTATTCATGTTTGTGACAAGGTCAATTTTTGGAGACATTTTTAAGACTACTTTGAAATTATGTTTTGTTCAACACATTTTTTATTAATGTATGGTAGATCAATCGTAATTTTTCCCACTGAAAGTTTGTTTTGTTTTTTTCTTCACTGATAACATTTGTCAAAGAGAGTATATTTTTGATAATACCGCTTTGGCGGTATTATCAAAAATAGCTTAAATCCAAACCTACGTATCTTACAAAGATTTCCCTTTTTTTTTCCAGATCTTAATATGATGAGAGTGAACCGTCCGTTTATTATTTATCGACTTTCGCAACAATAATATTCGGAATAGAAATATTTTGTGAACTTAAACCATAGTTTTGAAAAGGGTAGAATTGACTTGCAAGATCACTTCTCTCATGTTTATTCGATCTGCTTTTATCATAAAGCCTCTAAACTCCTGCTGTATTAGAAAAGCGAATGGTTGGAAAGCTTATGTTGTAAAATGATACCCATTTCTGGATCATCGTTTTAGTTTAATTCATGTCCATAGACACAACTCCTTGTTCTCTTGTATAATGGGAAGTTGTTTGTAAGTAATCGATTTGCTAGAATACACTTTCGTGATCTAATTTGTTGATTTAAAAATCATCACAGAACTGAAAGGCGGGTCAATTTTTAACCTTATCGGCTGAAAGAAGTAGCGCTCAGCAAAGCAAGGATCCCAGAGTATATTAACTAAAGGACTTACGAATTCCAGGCCATTCACCTCTATAGTATGTAGAGACAGCAGTTGACGATTGCTTTCCTTTTCTCCACTAAATTACATTATCCTAATTGGCTCCGTATTAATTACACTCAGAAATTCTCTTCCTGATGTATATGCATTCACTCATTTCTTATTTCGCTTTCTAATTGAAATGACCCCAATCAACAATTTTCAAATTATCCATGCAAAGTACCAGAGGCGCTCAAGAATTGGCTAATATGTTTCCTCATACTTCTTTTTATTGTTTTACTTTACATTAATCTCTATCGAAAACTATCATTTTCATGCTGCCCCATCAAATTATTTCGTTTAATTCATCTACACTATAAAAATAATAAAAGATTTAGAAACCAAGTTGATTTCAGAACCATATCAAATGCTGATAGCTAGACGTTGTTTTTCAGCTGAATTTCGGGAAGACTTATGTTTAAGTCGTAAAAACATCTCATTTCTTTGTGCAGAATGCAAAATGCGAATAAAACTTTTAAGATATGTTTAGAATAATTGAGACTTTTTTAATTTAATAATTGGAGACCTTGCTTTGCCTTCGTTTTTTCCTTGTCTCTTGTTCACTCTCATTGCCATACGACTTTCATTTGCATAAAAATTCAAAAGACTACAGTTTCCGACTAATTACTTGTTTAACCAGGAAGTAAGCAAAGTTAAAACCATTAGTAATTCAGATTACAAGATATTCAACCAGGTAAATCCATCAGTCTGTCTACTTTCATTTTTTTTTATACGGCCAGCAAAGTGCTTGAACTACTCCTTGTATATCTTTAGTTTTAAAAATAGTTGTAAAAAAATAAACGGTTACCTTTATTTTTCAATTTTGTGTCCCTTTGTCTTTAATCTCTTGTCAACATAGCGCTCTCTTTCCTTATTTACTTAGCTTAATAAGCTTTTAATGGTTTTTTTTCGGTAGATTTAAATTAGAGCCAAATACCGCGTGCAACGTGTAAAACGAGCTCAAGACAAGAATTGAATCCGTCTATCTTCTTGATTCACAATTTGTGTATGAAACTAGCGGTCGTGAAACTATTTGTATTCTTTGAAGGCCTCCGTGTTGTGATTAGTTACACGGTGAAACGTCGTTTTGAATGTAAACCTTTGCCACATCATATGTATTCAAATTTATGTAGGATTTATTATTCTTTTTCTTTTTTTGCTCTCCAAATTCATTACTCTTTATAATTAGTCTTGCAGCTGCTGTGTAGAAATAGAAAATGAGAATAATTTCTTAATTAGAGAGAGAAAGCAGAGAAAGCGTGTGATTAATTTGAAAGCTTCCGCTGCCGCTATATATGTACTCACGGTTGTATATATACAGGAAATGAAACTAATTAACCAGTTTTCCAAATCTAAA